TGTGTATGTGTATGTGTATGTGTATGTGTATCTGTTACATATCGATCCGGGCCTGACCTGATCCGAGTCTGTGTGTATGTATGTATGTATGTATGAGTACGGAAGGGGGTGTTCCGCATCCTGGGACTCTTCCCCCCCCTGGGGCCCAACTGCCCAACCGGATGACCGCTAACCCTGTCAGGGTGTTTCGCCCCCGGCTGATAACCCCCTCCCCCCTCCCCCTTTCCCCCCCCCCCCCGCACCGCCAAGGGTTTATCCAGCACCGAGCTTCCGTCCATGTACAGCACGTCGAATACGACATACACCACCTCCACATCTGCGGCAGTGGGGAAGACGTAGTCCGGGTCGCTGGTGTTGACGGAGGTGCCCATCTGCGAGGTCCAGGGGGGGGATGAGGGGGGTGACGGGAGGGTGGGGGATGAGGGGCGGGGTAATGACGCGGGGGAAAACCCGAACATGCTTGACATGGGATCCCGGCAATACACACGTGGTGCCATGACACACGGCGCGCATCTGATGGAACCTTCGTGAGGGGGTGCGTGTTGTGCACGTGTACGTGTTTTGCAGTGACGCGTCTCGCTGTGTTTTCCCCGCCCACCCGCCCCCGCACTGGACCTGGCCATTCCCTACCTTCATTCTAATCCTCTCCCCCGGCCCTGCCCCCACATTGATGGCGTCAATGGCGGCGCTCAGACCGCCAAACGGTTCAAACACCTGTCTACATGAAGAGGGGTTTGGGAAGGGGTCTAGGGTTTTTCGGGGGGAGGGTGTGTGTGGCAGGAAACTATGTGAGCAGATAGGGGGAACACGCGCATATATACAGACATTAGGGCAGGCGGCTGGCAGAGGTTAAGGCCTGACTTCTGCTCCAGGAGAGACCGGGTTCAAATCCGCCTGCCAACTTCTCGGGTGTTTGAGAAGTGTGGAAATGGGAGGTGGCCCCCCGTCTTATGGAGGGTGTAGGACGTGGTAATATCAATTTGCGAGCTGACCAGGAACTAAGTTGAGGCGCCGTTGATCCGCTAGATTTGGTTGGATGCTGGTGGTGAGTTGCCGAACCCAACGAATACATTATTCTGAAATCGGATGGGGTGAATGGATTAGGGTGCCCCTCTCGCAGGGGAGAGCAAGGAATTGCCTCGGGTAAGGGGGCCGCTGGTGAAGCTTAACCGCCCTGTAACGACATACACACTGTACATACATACACACATACTCACCTGGTCTTGTTCCACACAACCATCTCCCCGTCCAGTATCATTTGATCCTGACTCATAAGGCCCTCCAGGGCCGGGCCAAGTACGGCAAAGTCCCTCTTGGATCCATGATCCAGTCCCCGCCGACTAAAGAAGTTGAAGGAGTGGGGGCCGGTGCGGTGAACCTGCGGGGGGGAAGGGGACGACGCCGTACGCGTGTGTGTGTGTGTTTGTGTGTGTGTGTGTGTGTGTGTGTGTGTGTTGTTTATGTTGTATTTCATAATATGAGATCTTCGCCGTGAACGAGGGTCTCGTAACGCTGACAATGACGGCCCTAGGGCCCTCGGCGCTGAGGAAACGTGCCATATGAGAAAACTTGCCAAATCTGTACGTGGGTGTGTTTTTGTAGTGGGAGAGTTGAAAATCAAATTTTTGAAACATCAAATCCCAAGATGAAGAAGAATGAGGACAGAGGACAACGGATTGCGGCCTCGACTACTGAGACAGCTAGACGACACCTGTTGCACATTCCCCTCTCTTTCCCACCCACATCCAAAGTTCCAAATCCATCCCGTCCCTTGCATCACTGATTCACAAATACATACATACATACACACACATATGTACATACACACATATGTACATACATACATACATACATACATACATACATACATACATACATACATACATACATACATACATACATACATACATACTTACATACACACGCGCACTCACTTGCATTCTCTCTCCATCAAATTTAACCTCAACCACAAACCTCTTGCCCCTCATCCTCCTAGCCGCCACAGCCACACCGCCATCGCAACGATCCGCGAGCTGCGGCTTAGCCGGTTGACCAGGTACGACATCCTACGTACGGACGTGTGAATCCGTTGGTGACGGTTGCAAGCCGGACAGAGCTTGGAAACGGAGAATTTTGGGATTTTTAATAATTCCCTAAAAACGTAATTTTGATTTTAGGGTTTTAGGGTTCCACATCCCCCTGTTGCCCCCTGTTGCTGGGGGCTGTGCTGCTGAGCTGCTTCCCCCCCCAGGGAGGCTGCGGCCACTCGGCGCCTCTTACTTCTTACTTGCGGTAAAGTCTCATCTCATTGCTTCAACCCCCTCACACACACATACACACATACATGCACACATACATACACATACACACATACACACCCTCACCCTCTTCTTCATGCGGGTGTTGGGGTCCCGCAGGTCCCTCAGCACACGACGGAGGTCCATGCAGCTGTTCAGCATGTCGGCCGCGTCGGGATGGTAGTACGACAAAACCGTGTCAGCGGACATACCGACCTGGGGGTGAGAGGCGGGGAGGGGAGGGATGGGGGGTTACCTGCCTGATCACCTTGCTCCATCACCCAAACACACACGCACATGCACACACACATGCACACACACATGCACACACACACGCACACACATGCACACACACATGCACACACACACACACCCAAACACACACACATGCACACATGCACACACACACACAAACACACACATACCCAAACACACACACACACGGCCCCCCGGGGCCCCCTACCGACCTTAACATCCTTCATGATGATGGTCACGAGGCACCTGGCCGCCTCGGGGGA